CATAATTCATCAGTGAATAAAATAACTTACAATACATAATTCATCAATGAATAAAATAACTTACAATACATAATTCATCAATGAATAAAATAACTTACAATACATAATTCATCAATGAAGAAAATAAATTACAATACATAATTCATCAGTGAATAAAATAACTTGCAGTACATAATTCATCAATGAATAAAATAACATGCAGTACATAATTCATCAGTGAATAAAATAACTTGCAGTACATAATTCATCAGTGAAGAAAATAATTTGCAGTACATAATTCATCAGTGAAGAAAATAACTTACAGTACATAATTCATCAATGAATAAAATAACATGCAGTACATAATTCATCAGTGAAGAAAATAACTTACAGTACATAATTCATCAATGAATAAAATAACTTACAATACATAATTCATCTATGAAGAAAATACCTTACAGGAGATAATTTATCAATCAAAATATTAACACAGATTTGGGAATTAAAAGTACCAGATTTGTAGTACGTAATTATGCAATTAACTTAATAACGTAATTATCTGAAATAAATGCAATTTTTTTACACGATAATATCAGAAGAAAAGTAGAAATTAAAGTTTTATGTAATCGGTATTTTTCTTTCATCGCTAGATGGCACTATTAGAATATTAAAAGAAAGCCTTTAGACCTATTCATTCTGACAACGTATTTTCAAGGTGATTTAGTATTAAAAGTTTTAAAAATTAGACGAATTCAGATGCTGGTTACTGGAATGTTTTGGAAATTTCATTATAAAGATAGAAAGATATAATTTTCTTGCACTTCCCGACGAAAGATATCTATAAGTAAAAACATTTCTTTTCACTTTGTATTCCAATCACGTGTCTGAATATATTATTTCATTTTAGGATAAAGAACAAATTATACGAATTTTCTACGTCAAAACGATTCACAGCTTAAAAAATAAGTCATTTAAAAATCTGTTTTTTTTTCTTAAGTGTTCCGTCACTTTATGATAGATACAGAGTGTCTGTTAAACATTTGACGATTTTATGTACTTAGTATCAAATGCTAAATCTTAGTGGTAAACTACAGGATATTATCATTAACTTCTGATCAACGCAACCTACCATCATAGATCATAACTAAAATTAAGCTATTAATTGATTAGTTATTTTTAATACGTCGTTCTAAATTATAATAATTATATTTCTTTGATTCTTGCAGACATCTTGGAAAATTCTTTCACGTTTATTTGTATTTTAAACAAGAAAGATTAAATAAGTTTAATTGATAAATGTTATATAACGTTTTTTTAAAAATCTAGTAGTCTTAATAGAAGAAAAAGTAAAATTGTGCTGTAATATAAAACAAAATATAAAAGAATAAAGCAATGTCTCACGTGGCCCGGCATGGCCAGGTGGTTAGGGCGCTCGACTCACTCGAGGGTCGCGGGTTCGAATTCCAGTCACACCAAACATGCTCGCCCTTTCAGCCGTGGGGGCGTTATAATGTGACGGTCAATCCCACTATTCGTTGGTAAAAG